AGCCCGCAATCGCAAAATGAGCTTTCACGAATACTGATTTCCCATATACAGACACCTCAAAGTACCCTTTTTTCCAAACTATCTGCGTTCTTCCTTCATGCAAATCAGATAATCCCATTTTCAAATAAAATACGCTAGAATTTCAATCGGTACATAATCCCATTTTCAAACAGCCGTGAAAAAAAGAACTCTTTAGACACACATAAGCAAAGAATATCTCAAAATTTCAGCTTTCTAGCAACGCACGGTTCTCGAGTTATCAGTTTTTCCGTCAAAACTTTCGCATGCCGATACATGACAGTCACGCGTACCCAGAAGTTGAATTTGAGATCTTTAAGTTATACATGGGCTAGCGACATCCCTTTAAGACATCCTCTTACCAATACGAGTTCCTGAATTTGCATAAATAGGCGAAAAAGTATTAATAAAAACCATAAATTACCGTGGTGTGGTACATAAAATCTGTTGCAAAATAGCTACTGGCTGATCGGTTTCTCTCTCAATGCCTGCATATTGCATTACTGCACGTCGAAATTCCTGAAAAATATTTTTCCTTTTTATTATTTCACTAAATCCATTTCACATTAACGGAAGGAGCTGATCACAGTTCTTTTTTGCTCGGAATGTTATCCACTGAGAGCACTCAGACAAAAAAGAAATGAAAGAAGGAAGTGGAAAAGAGACAGAGCCGATACTGTCCATATAATAATAGCAGCGCGTACCAGAATAGCCTGTGCGATCATGCGCTTGCGTAGTTTCGTCCAGCGGATGTTTGCTGTTAAGAATTTTCACTATTTTACACTTTGATGTACGCAGAAACAGTCGGCATATTTTCCGGCTCCTAATCTGCGAATACACGTGAAAACGGAATTTGAAATCTTCAGGTCGCATATGGACAGCTTTTTAGTTTTCTGGTTTCCGAGCTAGTAACCTTTGCATCAAAGTTTTCACATGGCCACACTTGAGTCCTCGGAATACTTAAAAGCTAAATTTGAGTTTGTGAGTTCCCTACAAACACATAAAACGTCTTCTGATATCTCAGACTCCCAAATCTGTTTCCCAAGGATCTTTTCTGACAAACTTTCGGAGGAGAGGGGGAGGGTAGAGGGCGGGGACGGGCCGCAGATGAGTCTCAGACATACATGAAAGCTGCATTTAAATTTGCAGAGTCGCAGACGGGCGGGGAACATTTTCCTAAAATTTCAGCTCCTTAATTTCTGTGGTTCTCGAGTTGAAAGTATAGGAGAAAACGCACTCGGACACACGCACACGCACACAAACAGGAACGTGAAAATATGCGTTTTGTGCAGCTGTTACATAAAATACAAAAAAGATCAGGAAAGCACCAATATTGCAAGATATACTCATCCTTTCTATCCTCATCTTCCTCAAAACTTGAACATTACACTAGAGCACTAAAAACGTCCAATATCAGGGCTAAAAGGAGAAAGGAGAATGATAAGTTGTTGCTGACGGGAAGGAGAAGTGCTACTGCCTTACGGGGACCAATCTTCAACTCTCAATTCTGACTTGGTAATGCCGAGGAGAAAAAAGCCAAGTACCTCAACCGGATCAACGTCTTCATCAGCATCCGGATCAGTTGGAATGTGAAAACGCATTTCCATCAGTGATATGGGACAGCCGTCACCCTGATGAAATTCCAGTGCTGCTTCACTTTTTCCCGCTGTACAATTGCTCACGTTGCTCAGTGGGATCTCGAAACACGGTTTACCATCCACTTCGAATTCCAGAACTTGCCCTGTAAGATTATTGGGAAGTGTAAGTGGGAAAAAAAACCTATTAATACGAGAAATGCATAGAATGCTAGCAAGGCCGGAAATGTCCCGGGCATCATTGGTCGCCTTTTTTTTGTAAACAACGAAAACTTCCATTTTTTGTAAGGCTCATACAAGATGTTGCCGCGCAAAATATTTATTTGATATTTGATGATATGGAATTTATTCGGCTTAAATAGCCGTTATATAAACACCAATTCAAGGGCAATTATTAGCTAGTTGTAAAGCATACTTTAAATATTAGGGACTGAAATCCAAAGTATATAAGAGAACTTTACCTTTCATATAAAAATTTGTAACA